AGAGAGAGAGAGAGAGAGAGAGAGAGAGAACGAGATGGGGGGATAATGGAGACCAGTGAGGAAGGGAGGAGAGACAGAAAAAGAGAGAGTGAGAGAGAGAAGGAGAAAGAGAGAAAGGGAGAGAGATGAGGGAGAATAGTGAGCGAGAGGGAGAAAGAGAAAAGATAAGAGGATGTAGAGAAAGGGGATGGGGTGGCAGAGACTGAAATAGGTGGAGATCCAAAGAGAGCTAGAGGCAAAGGCAGAAAGAGAGAAAGAGAGAAAAAGAAAAAGAGGTGACAGGAAGACAGGAAGACCAAGGAGAGGATAAAGCAGGGACAGGGATAGGAGAGGATGTCACAAAGATTTTATTATGACTGACATCGAACTACTGACTGTGCTGCTTAAAAGATCGACGCGCCACCATAATCGGATTATGAGTAGCACACTTTTCAACTGTAGCTATGGGCATAAAATGCACATTAACGGCAACACAGTCTGAGGGAGCCGCCTCTAGATTCATAATGATCAATAGGGCAGATAGGAACTTTCGATTAGCCATTTTTATGCTCACTTTGCCACAATTGTAGCGCCCGTGTCACTTTTTGAGTAGAGAGGGTGCAGTTATTTGTGTGTATGTGTATATGCATACTATTTGTGTATGTGTGTGTTATGTGTGTATGTGTATGTTTGTGTGTGTGTGAGAGGGGGCAAGAGGTGTGGAGATTGAGAGAGATTGAGAGACAGAGAGGGGGGGTGAATAATAAGGCCTATCTGTAACCTAGTCTTGCATTAACCCCCAACGTTCATAAGGTACGACCTTTCCAATGTTGGTCCGACACGCATTGACATCATCTTCTTTTATTCTTTATATTAATTGATGTATTTTGACTTCTCACCTATTGCATGGTCTCTACCCACCCCCACCCCCTTTTTTTACCCCACCTCCACATTCCCACAGCCCGCCATCCCAATCAGTTCTTTCAACATTCTTTAGTTTTGTTGAGAGATACAGGGAGAAATAAAAAGAAATGGAGAGAGAAACATACATAGTGTGTGTGTGTGTGTGTGTG